TTCATGAAATCCATGCAGTTGGAGGGATGGGTCCTTCAGCCTGGATTGTGAGAGAGCACAGGCCAGGCCGAGGGACCCCCATTGGTGTATGAGTGGGCCTAGGGAGGAATGTAGGAGGTTGGCCAGCCGGGGAGGGACCACTGAAGGGCTCCAGGGCAAGTCCGGCCCTTCTTGCTCAGTCCGGATTGGCCAGACCCTAGCAGCAAACTAACCTACCAGTTGGAGCATCTGCCCCCAAGTGGTCTGTGCACGTCATAGCAAGTGGTTGAGCATATCATTATCATATTATGCTTTGATTGGTTGAATGGCTGACTGGACAACCAAACACTTAGCATATTAAGCTTTTATTATATAAGAAGGATGCCACCTCAATAAATTCAATAAAAGAGAAAAAAGAGCAAAGTTTATCCCCAGGACAAAAGGGAAGAAGAATGAACTTCTGAGAGCCTGACACTCAGCAGGTGCCCAGCAAACCTCTTTGGAATTAACACCTTTGCAGGCCCAAATGCATCCACTTAGGTCCCCATCCTTGACACCCCTTCTCCCTCCCCTTCTTCCCCCCAGCAAGCCTGCAGAGGGTTTCTAAGTTGACAGGTGATCTGTTCCCTGACGTCAGGCTTCTGAATGGAAGGAGCTGTTTAGGAGATAATGGGCTTATCTTGGCCTTGAGATGGCTGTGTTGAAGGAGAAGGAGGAAAGGACTCCTTTGTTGCTAAGGCCTGGAATGTGAAACATCTGCTGACATCCAACCCACCACTTTCTCAGGTGCTTTTTACTCTCCCCGAATTGGAAGGTAATGACAAGTTATAACCCGGACTGCATGCTTCCATGGGGAGGCCCACTGTTCTGACCAAAGAGAAAGGGCAAAGGGATCCTCCCTCAAGAGGAGAATCAGGCCTGGATCTCTTCTGGCCTGACCTGGGCAAAGCAGGGAAACCCAGGCCTCAGAAACCGACAGGCCCTCCTGCCGAAGGCACACCAACATGTTGAAGAGCAGGGAAGGCGGAACTGTCCTGGGAAAGTCTGTCCCAGGCCTGGGGCTTGTCTGGAATGAACATTTTGAGGCCATTTGTTTTAATTTTAACAATAATTGATAATCAAAGCACTCAGCCATAAACTGCCCGTCATCACCAGATCAGACTATTTTTAGGAAGGAACAGATGAAAAGGATCTATAATAATAAAGGCATAATATGCTAATTAGACCAAATGTCCTTCTGGACAACCTTCCTGATGAAGCCAGGGTGCCAGAGGGAAGCTGGTGCTGGCAGCCGGGGGAAGGAAGGCCTACGCTTGCACAAATTTCATGCATCAGGCCTCTAGTACTGTTATAATAACCTGATTATTATTTAACAAGAAAGGAGCAAAGGGAAGGCTAGATAATATAGGCATGCCATTTATATAGCTTTGCCAGGAAGCTGTAGTTAACATTCTCCAATTCTGTTCCCTGTAGATCGTTAGATGGACTAGACAATAGATGCATGCCCAGTAAGGTCTAGGTGACATGGGAAGATGCTTACCTGTCAGTCACACCTGGGAATGTATCAGTGGTCAGAATAGGCATGCTGTATTCTAAAATACATGATCTGTTTATTGTATGTATGTTCATCACTGCAAGCGTTCAAAATCTGAGAAACTTAACTCCAGAGCAAAGAAAATTCCCTCTCTTGCTCTCTTAGGACTCCTGTTTCAGGAGGCATGCTCCCCTACATCACCCATGTCGCTTACAACCACGGAGGACCCACACAATGGATTATAGATGGCAATTAGCCTGATGTTACATCGAACTCTGCTCCACCATGGAACGGAAACTCTGGATACTGGCTTTGCTTTTGGCTCTGCTCGAGTCCCAGCTACACCTTTTCCAGGACTGGATTAAGGGACCTGGGATTTTGCAAACTGAGGATGTAACTCTACACAAATAAAAACCACTCCTTCTCCCCTGCAAGTCTTAGAAAATTCCTTTTCTCAATATATCGTAAGAACCCCATTCCCACTAGTGATGGAGAAATTCTACCCATTCAATCCTCTGGCAATAAAAATAGTGCAAAGTTGCTTGAAGTGACCCCATATGCACTCATGCTAAGAAGGCACATCTTTGGGGCCCACAGATAGGGTGTGTGTATTTCCCTGAATAATACCCTAACTCCCTGCAGTCTTTACAGTAACCCCCTGCAAGGACAGCCGATGCCTTAGTGCAGGGCCTCAGGCTTCAGAGACTCTTCTCATGCCCAGGAGCCACCTGAGAAGCCCAGTGCCCTGGTCCAGTGCCTGAGGAGGAAGTACTGGGCCCACAGGGAGGGAAGGGGTGAGAGGCTTGCTCAGGGTCAGTTGGGTCCTGGGCTGGCCAGAGAGACCGGGCATGGAGGCAGCTTCTTAAGCAGCTAGGAACTGCATTTAAAATATCCGGCATAAGCAGCAGCTGCACGAGATCTCCCTTCTAAACATCAGTTCAGGAAACAGCTCTGAGATTCTCCCTCCTTCCTCATTTCCCAGGCTGCCCACCACCCAGAAGGAGAAAAAATCTCAAACCCATTAAAAACTCACCTTTGTTGTTCAAACAATTTAAGTCACTTTAATGCCATGAAATCTCTCACATAGGAACAGTGTGGACCAGGATTGTGGTGGCCTTTCTATGAGCAAAACACCAGGGATTTTACAAAAATGGTGTTGGGACAAGGGACTGCTATCTGGGAAAATATGAACATACCCAGATTCCTCCCTCCTCAGGAGAAATTCCAGTTAAACATAAAACATTAGATAACTTTTGTTATAAACTAAAAAAAAAAAAAAAAAAAAAAAGGGCAATTTAAAACCCAGGAACTAAAACAACCTAACAAGTTTGAGTACATTACTTAACAAATGGACAGAAAAGTGCTAACTATGGTAAAAACAAAAATCCAAAATTGCCGGAAGCCAATTCCTGCAAGTCAGCAGAGCTGAATTATCTGGAACTGGCTGAGATCATTTCCCCAATCCTGAAAAGGATCCATAAAATGATTGCTTGCTGCTAGATAGCTAAGAGCATCTTAATCTACATGTTATTGCCTCCTACTGGCCAAACACCTGAACAGCCATGGGCAATTCTTCCAAACCTGACAATGGATTCTGTATACTAAACCTTGCCTTCGATGTATATCTACTTTGCCTGAGGATAATTTGTGTTAATAAAAAGCAAGGGGTCCTGAGACAAGGCAGAATTTAGTTTCTTTAGCTAAGTCTTCTTTGCTTTCCATAATGCCTTCCAAAATTATGTTTGTCTCTGGACTCTTATTTAATTTACCCACAGCACTTTTCCAGATTCCTGAACCCTTCTAGATGCTGGATTAAGACCACCGGCATTACAAAATGACACAAAACTGATCTGCTCCCACATCTGCCTCAGGCCCCACTGTGGTCATGATTGACCCTGGGGAGGCTGATGCCATGGCTTAACCTTGAGGGGAGGGGCTTGCTCTGGGTCTTCCTCCATGCATGGCCATGGGTTTTGGCTCCTCTGAGTTAACAGGTGCCTCTGCTCTAGGTCACACGGCAGCACTACTCTCCTTTCCACATTAAATCAATCATTTCCTCTGCTCATCTGGGCTGGGGCTGGGGTCTGTGATGGGAGCAAGTCAGGTGAAGCATGGGGCCGGCATGTGGATAGGAGGGTGACTGGATACCACAGCCCTCCCACCCCCAGATCCTACGAGCAGCTCTGGGTTGGGCCAGTCTTCTAGGCTATCCCTGCAATGGCAGGCCTGACACCAAGTACAGGAAGCGTCCTGCTACGTTCCGACTGGCTGTGCCTTGGAAGCCCAGTTTTCCTCACCTGTAGAACAGGTGCAGAAACATTCCAACACCATGGGCTGTACTTTGAAACACTCAGACCGAGGAAGGCGCTGAGCCCGGCTCAGCGGAGGTGGTTATACAGTTCTATGAGTGGGTTAAAATTCATGCAACGAGAGTATCATTTTTATCGTATGATAACTTAAACTAAAATAATAAAAAGAAGTATTGTGACCTGGGTAAAAAGACTTGCCACCTTTGGTACAAATGGCAAATTTGCAAAAATCTAATCAAGAGCTCCTGTAAACTGAGAAAAATAGGTCAAGAATGTGAACAAATTGTTCACAGAAGAAAGACAAGGTCCTTAGACACACGAAGGCCCGCTTCACCCATTAGTAAGGAAAACGGAAACGGAAATGACTGAATAAAGTAAAATATAAAACAAAATGTCATTTTTCACCACTTATATTGGAAAAGATAAAAGTTTAAAAAAATACATTAGATTGTTGAAAACATGGGGGATGGTCACTCCTGCCCACCCCTCTACTGAGGGGGTGATTAGGGTCAGACCTTCATCAAGAGGAAAAGTAAACATAGGTTTGATTCTGCAATTCCATGCCTGGGAAGTTATTCTGCAGATATACTTAGATATGTGAGAGGTGACAAAGGTACAAGGATGGCATTCTGGTTTAGTTTATAATAATAATTAAAAAAAAAAAACACCTGGAAATAGCTTAAAGGTCCACCACTACACTTGGTTAAATTGTACCCCTCACCCACGGCCAATGCTGACAGCGGGCAGTTCTGTATGTACTGATATGGGAGGTCTCCACAGTATCTGGTGGCAAAAGTGGGGTCAGATCATGTGTAGGGGGAGCCACCCGTGGCACTGCTCATATTATGTATTCTTAGAGCTGGTATCCGTGGTGGCCTCCGGGAAAGAGAACTGACAGGTCCACTGGGAGGCAGGGCCAGGGATATGCTTTCTCTTCACACCCCTGGGAAAGGTGGACATTTTATACCCTGTGTGCTTCTTGCTGATTCAAAACCAAAACCTACCTGCTTGAACAAGACAGTTTATTGAAAAGGGAGACCTCAGGTAGGTGTGACAGCCCCTTCAGATAATGGAAACATTCAATATCCTCCCCCTCCCTCCCAAAAACACACACAACAAAGCTTAAAGTTACCCAAACTCACAGGGCTCTGAGGAAGACAGGAAGGAGACGGACTTACTTTGAACGCACTGAACAAAGTTTGGGTTTTTTGTGTACGGAGATCCATGTTTAGTAATGCAGTCTGCAAGAGAGCAACGGGAGGCGTGTCATTCTTCAGTCAGGAGGTGAAACAACTTTAGAGACAGTGCTACAGCCTCCCGGGACCCTTGGGAAAGCAGACTGTGCACGCTGACCGGAGTGCTACAGTCCGCCAGCAATCACGCAGTTTAGCTTTTGTTAATACACGGTAACGGAATAGTTCAGCACTGACCCGGGGAAGTGCCCCCAGCGAGTGGCAGACTGTGCACCCAGAGCGTGGCCACGCACACCGTCCGCAGCTCCTCCGGTGGGTTTCCTCTGCCCGTGTACGGAATAATCACTGAGAAATTCAGTACATTTTCTGACCGTGGTCAGAGAGCTAAACTTCCATTTCAAATGGACCCCCTGTTTGGAAACACTGCCCTTATTGTGAAAGTCAAGCCTGTCTGAGGTGCTGCCCACAGGGGACACTGGCCGTTCCGCACGGGCAAGGGGATGGGGACGGGAGGCTTGGCCTCTCGAGCACATGCATCCTGGGATACCAGAAGCTTGAAGTCGTGCAGAATGGGTGTTGAGCCGATTCATCTGGTCCTTCCATGGGTCCCTGCTACTTCTCCCTGCCTAAGGGGACACTGCATGGCAACAGATGGTCCCTAAAGGGTGGGCTCATGGGATAACAGGTCATCCTTGGCCTCAGGAAACAAACCTCGCATACCCAGGAGCGAGGTCAGCAGAGCACCCAGAAGTGGGCAGGTTTCTGGGCTTTTCAGGGCCCGTCACAAGTCCGCTTGGCCTGTTGCCAGATACGGACCCAGAGGAGGTACCACTGAGAGAATGGAAGGCCAGCAGAACATTTGCCCACGTGGACTTTACAAAATTAACGAGGAAGACCCAGAATACATTTCTCTCATTGTAAGTGATATGCGTCCCAAACTATCTTAAAACGGTATTAAAGGAGAATTCTCAGGGGAACCCAGGGCCCTTCAGGCTGTTGGGGAGGTCAATGTCATCGCCCTGATAGGACTCAGTTGTCATTTGCCCTTTACTCTCCCTCTCCCTCCAGCGTCCAGCAGAGCCACCCTCACACAATGACATCACTGCTCGGTGGCCAAGAATGTTTGCTTGTGCATTTTTTCAAATGAAATAAAAAGGTTCTTTAATGTTCTCAGTTTTAATGACCAGCATCGCAAATATCATTACATACAGCCCACGTGAATAAAAAGCTCTTTGGCATCCTCAGTCATGTCAGAAATGCAGAATCCTGAGATCAAAAAGTCTGAGAATTGCTGAATCAGTCATATTCCCAAATAATAAACTAAGCCTGGACTCAGAGCAGAAAAGAGGTTTGCAGATAATGGCTTTGGATTGAGGGGAAGTTAGCATGGATCATCATGGTACAAAAGACACAAGTGTTTTGACCCACGTGCTCTGGATAGTTTCAAACTCTTCATATAATTAAGCAACCTTCCCTCCAGGAATCACTTGGTCAGTGATGTTCTGACCCATTGTTTCTCTGACATGTAACGAATATCCCCCAACTATGCCTTCATGACAACTAAAGGAAGCAGCGATTTAAACTTACCTAAGTATCTGGGATAAAAGTATTCCTGCGGAAAAAGAAAAAGGGCAACAGTTTACTGGCACAATCTGAGGCTTCCTACACCACACCATCCCTAGCTGGTTCCCCGAACCTCGCCTGTCTCCCCTAGTGGATAGAAACAGACTCTCAGGGAGCAGGTGTTGGAGGACAGCGGAGAATTTCTCCACGGATGACTCAGTGACAGGACCAGCAGAGCGAGAACCACCCAGAAAGCCACTTCCTGCCTGGAAGACAGAGGCACGAGGGAAGTGGGGGGGGGGGGGGGGGACAGCCCAGGCGGCTTCTGCAGAACCGTGACTGTGGTTAGACTTTCTGTAACCAGCAACAGCGAACTTAGAAGGCGCCACTCGAAGTGTCTCAGAGGATGAGAAATAACACAAGTCACGGCCAGGTCTTAGGCAGGCCCTTGTGGACGTAGGGGTCCTCACGGAAATGTGGAGACCGTGTGGGACTATCCACACATGGGCACTGACGTGGACGTACTGTGTTTGTAAACCAAAGTGGTGCTGGGTGAGTTATGGAGGGTATAAACGAGGAGTCTCTTGTCCATCAACGCAAGCTAAGGCTTCTGCACTGCACAGGGGAAAGCCATATATGAGAGCCACCCGCCCTCCCTCGGCGAGCAGCAGGGACTTGCTGGGAAGCCCTTCAGGCTGTGGCTGGTTAAAAGTAGCCCCATCACGTCCACTCTGATCTCCCCCTTTGGGCCAGTCCTGGGGCAGTTTGGCCCTAATCCCCCCCCTTAATGGGACCACGTGGCTGACTAAGCAACGCCAGCCACTAGATGTTGGGTGTCAACTGCATGCCGGTCACATTCCACATTTTTACATTATTTTGTTTGATTCTCACAACCACGTCCAAGGAAGGTCTTCAGTCTTAACCCATTATCACAGATGAGGAAACTGAGGCTCGATGGAGGCGGTGGCGTGTGACTGAGGCCATGAAGCTAGAAAGGGCTCCTGATGGCGCACTGGTCCCGAAAGCGTGAGGACGGGAGCTGGTGCGTGGCTCTTGATAGGCAGAGGTGCCCCCAGGGCGACCCGCACAGGGCGTGGCGCTGCTCTTCCACATATTCGCCAGCCGCATACCCTGGTCCTGGCGCAGCCTCATGTCACCTTCACTCGGATGTGTGGCCAGAGCTCCCGCCTCGCTGATTGTGAAGGAGGCGGGCTGGGCAGTGCCACGTGAGGGTCATGAGAGTTCTCAGACTGGGTGGCGCTGGGGACACTTTGCTAAGATGCCCTCAGATGAGATTTCAGAAAGCCATGTTCTAGTAAAGATGTGACTTTAAAAAACAAAACTCTTAAACCCGTTAAAGGGGAAGAGAGCAAGTTTGCTATTTCAGCTTGCGTGACCGCTGCAAAGATAAAATCCAGTGCAAATGTGGCAGAGGCCAGGTTTGGAGGTCAGAGCTATGGGGTCAGGGGGGATTGCCCCTCTTTGCCAGCATGGAGAGGCCCCTGGCATGCCTGCTTTCACTTCCTTCTCTTGCTTTGGGTCAGGGATTGGCCACCTTCCGAAAAGAGGCTGGGCCAGGTGTGCGCTGGTGAAACCTCTCGGACCAGAGGGTGGAGGAGGCCGTGACGTCTTTCCGGGTTTGGAGGGAGAGCAAGGGCCGCAGAGCTTTGTCACAAACGGAGAAAGAAAAGACTGAGCATGAACGCAACAAGTGTGCACACACTCCGGTTTAGGAAACCGATCATTAGGTTAAGAAAGAACTGCAAACAATGAAAAACTCTGAGTAAAGGAACCTAATTATACATAAACATGTACACGATCACAACTTCCCAGCAAGGTGTATCATATTGTTCAAAATAGCGCTTAGTTTATAGTTATGCGTGGTATGGTTTAATAATGAGTTCTACTGTTGTGAAAACAACAACACATTATTCATAGAAAAACCGCGCTCATTTCTCCTTACTGAACCACACCTAAGGGGAATGTGGTTACTGAAACCACAGGGCCATAAAACCTGGTGACAATTTATTCTAATTTGTGCGTTAGATTTATTTGGGGTGGGAGAGGGCTATAAACCATGTGCTAATTTGCCTGGTAATCTATTATAGGAGAGGGTTAACCCTGAATAAAAGCAAAGCTAGCACAAACACACATAAAAAGTGTCGCACACACTCTCCCCGGAGAAAGAGACATTTCCACGTGTCCTTCAACGTTCTGACAGAAGGGGAGGGCTATGAAAATCGTCCTCTCCTTTATTCTGTGAGTAAAGGCACCAAACACAGAACGTAGAGCCGACCCCACCTGCATCACAAGTTGGTCAGGGAGTAAACCCTGGCCTACGGCCCAGGAGCTGCATTGGCTCAGTGAGCAGCATGCCATGGGGATCCACCGGGCAGAGACACAGCCCATGGGGATCCACCGGGCAGAGGCACAGCCCAGGGGGATCCACCGGGCAGAGGCACAGCCCAGGGGGATCCACCGGGCAGAGGCATAGCCCATGGGGATCCACCGGGCAGAGGCACAGCCCAGGGGGATCCACCGGGCAGAGGCACAGCCCATGGGGATCCACCGGGCAGAGGCACAGCCCAGGGGGATCCACCGGGCAGAGGCTCAGCACATGGGGATCCACCGGGCAGAGGCTCAGCCTGTCCCTGACTGCAGGGTCGGCTGCAGCCCTGCAGGGCCCATGCGGCATGCAGTCCCCAGCTCCAGGCACCCCTCTTCCTCCTCCTCCACAGCCATCCCCTTGTGCCCGACACACATGGTGAGGCACACGGTGGGGCAGGCAGAGAGGCCTAAACCAGCAGGGAGCTAGGGAGGGCTGTAGCCCACAGGAAAGCCAGGTTCTCCAGGCTCTTTTTCATAGCCAGTGATGGGACAAAACTGGAACACGAGTAACCATGGGAGATGATACATGTTCTTCCAGCTGCTCAGGGCTCTGGTATGAACAGCAGAGGCTCTTGGGCGTGTGAAAACTCTGGTCCCCTCACTAATCCCCAGTGACCACGTTCGCTGTAACTCGTACCTGCCCAGAGCCTGTCCCTCTGGACAGTGCACATATGCCTCTCGTGTGCTATGGGCACCCAGCACCTGCAAGGAGGCCTGAGTGGAGTCCCTGGGCTCCTCTCTAGCCACGCCTGGACCCCCAAGGATGAGGGCTGCAGGCCTCCCCTCATTGGCAGCTGCAAGTAGAAAGGTGACTGCACAGGCCCAGTGTGGGACACCAGGGAAGTGGAGGGGAGGCCAGTCCCTCCACCAAGTATTGCAGTAAAAGGTACAGCACAGATTGTGTGAGTGTAGCTGGAAAGACCCTTGTGAAAGGTGGGCTGTGCAAAAACTCTCAGACATAGCAAATTACAGTGTCTATCACCAGGCATGGAACTATTCATAGAAATGCACCTCATAAAAAAGGTTTGTCCCCAAATACCTCTTCCCCGTAGCAGAGATACCCAATTCTCCTTCCATCCTTAGTAATAGAACGTTGGGTTTATTCTAGACTTGCACTGTACACTACATTCCCAGCTTCCCTTGCAACGAGGGGTGGCCATGTGACTACATTCTAGCCAATAAGATCTGAGCACAATGTGAAACTGAGCGAAGAGGGTTGTGGGAGGGGAGCTGTGCCTCTCCACCCTCCTTGCTGAAGTGCAGATGGGATGTCTGGTGCTCTAGCATCCTGGCAGGCGTGTGAGGAGCCTCTGAAGACAAAAGCCACGCACCAGGACAGCAGAGCAGGAACAGGTCATGTGTGTCTGTGGGCACTGCTGAGCGGCACTCCTCAGCCTTCCTCCCGCCTTTCGCATGAGAAATACACTTCTATCTCCTTGTTTACATTTTTCAAATGGGTGCAGCAGAAAATACCAGGCTAGCTGAATTTGACAAATGAGTGCCAGCAGAACTGTAATCACCACAAAGTGAAATTAATCATAAATCTTCCAAGGGTCAAGACGTTCTCATGAGTTCATGAGGACGTCTGGGAGCCACCCAGTGCAGAGGCATATTGACAAATCAGGGCTTAGGCCAAGTAACAATGCGAGAAGAAGTCTGCGAGTGTCATAGAATGGCTGCTTCCAAGAGAATAACCTGGTGATTAAGAATGTGGACAGCCCTAACCGGTTTGGTTCAGTGGATAGAGCATCAGCCTACGGACTGAAAGATCCCAAGTTCGATTCCAGTCAAGGGCATGTACCTTGGTTGTGGGCACATCTCCAGTAGGGAGTGTGCAGGAGGCAGCTGATTGATGTTTCTCTCTCATCGATGTTTCTAACTATCCTTCTCCCTTCTTCTCTGTAAAAATCAATAAAATGTATTTTTTTTAAAAATAGAATGTGGACAAAGCCATCACACATTTTTGTTTGTTTGTTTGCAAAACTATCTCCATTTATGGTCAGAACAACATTCTAAAAATCATCGTTTTCGGAAAAATTGTGCCTGGCTCCCCTCCCGAAATTCTTGCTTCCATCTCCCTTTGTTCTAAACATGTAGTGCCTAATTGCATTTATACTCTGACGTTTATGAAGTATGAGACGGACCAAATTTGTTCCTACAAATGTTACGGTTTCATTCCCCAAGATTAATTTTTATACTCACTGTGTAAGATGATGTGTTTTAACTGGAGTCCCTTTCAAAGACCTCTCTCCCTGCACTCGTGTGCTCTCCTGGCAAAGCCTCTCTCGCTTTGCACAGCGCTGGCTGCTCCTCAACAGCTTTGCTCAGCAAACTCCTTGGTTCGCAAGGCCAAAAGCAGCAATGTCACTCACTGGGTGAGGAAGACCTGCTGACAGGAAGCAGCAGGAAGCAGCGCACCCTCTTGGGGCTCTGGCGTGGTTGTGGGCCTGCCTGCTGGCCAGCCACCTTCTTGTTGGGGAAATGAGATTTACAGGGGCGAAGCAACAGAATTTTATTCAAATTATGCCTATACTATCCTCACATGTGGAAGAAGGCAGAGAGGTGACCAGAAATGGCAGCTGTGGAGGTGGAGGAGGGGCTGCCAGCCAGGGACTGTGGCACCTCTAGACGCTGAAAAGTGAGGATGGATTCTCCCCGGGA